CCGTGGAGGATCAGCGATGAAAAGCTAGGAGGCTGGAATTCGAGCAAGTCCCTTTGCGCAGGATGCAATTGGCGGGTTTGGACACGACTGACCCGAAGTGAGAGTGGCCAAGACTTCATGCTTGACTTGTTGGCTACGGCGGGCGTTGCTTTGGCCTAACAAACATGGGGTAGGCATTCAGGGTGGCGCGCCTTCCTCCTCCATGTCGCGATCCTTCAAACACAGACACACACACACAGGGAGACACACGCAGGGAGACACACACACAGGGACACACACAGACATACACAGACACAGTCACACACGCACACACACAGCTACCCCCCCGCACAGACGTACTGGAAAGGCGTTCACGCCGGCCATCGCCAGGGCTGAGTGATGCCGCTGCCATCTGGATGAGCTTTCTAAGGCGCTGATCCTCACGGCTCTACAACCCCACGCTCGCCGCCCCTCCTCGGCGAGTTGCGGGCGAGCGAGGGAACGAAGGAGCGAGGGACGGTTGTCGCAGCGAAACAGGAAGCCCAGTGCCGAACGGGGGTCGGCTGGGCGAGGCGCTTGTGCACAAACTGCTAAAATATCGACACAAAGTAGCGGTATTTTAACATGGGAAGGCGTTGGTGGGCTTCACCAACTTGTTGTTTAGCTACGTGAACTGACATGCTAGGAACAATTCAGCTTGTATAGCGAAAAATGAAATAAGTATTTCACTTTTCTACACATCTGTATGTAATATACTTTTAGCCACTGTAAGTATTATACTTACATTAGAAGCCATGTAAAAGTATTTTACTAATAACCGTGTTATCGGGTGGTGAATCGTTGGGTAGAAATTTATCGGCTTAAAATAATAGTAGTTTTATCCGTTGAACAACACCTTTGGTTAGAGGATGACGCTTGCAAAGCGTCACTTCTTCTCATTGCCACTGGAACCTTCTGTTGCTTTCGAGTCACATGGCTCCCCTTACACCCTTTGCTCTGCACCTATGCTTGCGTGCTGTGCTGTCATAGGCGGCTGGGGCACTTGTTGCCACGTGCACCCCCTGTTATCGTAAGCATCATGTGGAAACCAAAGGAACCGTCTAGCAACCCTTGGAAGCAAAAGGCGAATAAGCCAATAAGGTAAGGGCTTGCTTACTAACTTTAGCCTGCTCAACGTTCAATAACGTGGTGGCACGATGTGGACGTGGCCAAACGGCTCCCGACCGCTTGGATGGCGCGGCGCTGGCCGGGGCAGTGGCATTTTCTTGCTAGCTTCATCAGCTATCATCCCAGTAGTGTCTACTCTTTTAGCTTTACTTCTTCTTCAACAACATCACCATGCCCGCCATCGGTATTGATCTTGGCACGGTACGTCACTTGTTGTCGGACTGCCTTTTTTTGCAACTTCTTGAACAAACACTTGAAGACACATGCCATGGGTGTTGTGTGAATGACGTGTTGTTCACTGGCTTCACTGGCGGCTTGCGACACACTCACCCTTTTTGCTTCGCTTCTCTCTGCTCGGTACCCTCTTTTTAGACCTACTCGTGCGTTGGCGTGTTCCAGCACGGCAAGGTCGAGATTATTGCCAACGACCAGGGCAACCGCACCACGCCCAGCTATGTCGCCTTTACCGACTCTGAGCGTCTCATTGGTGACGCCGCCAAGAACCAGGTGGCCATGAACCCCACCAACACCATCTTCGATGCCAAGCGCCTTATCGGCCGCAAGTTCGATGACGCCGCCGTCCAGAGCGACATGAAGCACTGGCCTTTCAACGTCATCAACGTTGACTCTCGTCCCAAGCTCGAGGTTGAGTACAAGGGTGAGACCAAGCAGTTCTTCCCTGAGGAGATTAGCTCCATGGTCCTCGTCAAGATGCGCGAGATTGCCGAGGCCTACCTCGGTACCGAGGTCAAGGACGCCGTCGTCACCGTCCCCGCTTACTTCAACGACAGCCAGCGCCAGGCCACCAAGGATGCTGGTACCATTGCCGGCCTGAACGTGCTCCGTATCATCAACGAGCCCACTGCTGCCGCCATTGCCTACGGTCTCGATAAGAAGAGCCAGGGTGAGGCCCATGTGCTCATCTTCGACCTGGGTGGCGGTACCTTCGATGTGTCCGTCCTCTCAATCGATGATGGCATCTTCGAGGTCAAGTCGACCGCCGGTGACACCCATCTTGGCGGTGAGGACTTTGACAACCGTCTCGTCAACCACTTTGTGACCGAGTTCAAGCGCAAGCACAAGAAGGACATCACCTCCAACAAGCGCGCCCTCCGTCGCCTGCGCACCGCTTGCGAGCGCGCCAAGCGCACCCTCTCCGCCTCGGCCCAGGCCAACGTTGAGATTGACTCTCTCTTCGAGGGTATTGACTTTTACACCAGCATCACCCGTGCTCGCTTCGAGGACCTGTGCGCCGATCTCTTCCGCGGCACCCTCGACCCCGTCGAGAAGGCCCTCCGCGATGCCAAGCTGGACAAGTCCACCATTGATGAGGTTGTCCTTGTCGGTGGCTCCACTCGTATCCCCAAGGTCCAGAAGCTGCTCCAGGACTTTTTCAACGGCAAGGAGCTGAACAAGAGCATCAACCCCGATGAGGCTGTTGCCTACGGTGCCGCCGTTCAGGCCGCCATCCTCTCCGGTGACAAGTCGGAGGCCGTTCAGGACCTGCTCCTGCTCGACGTTGCCCCCCTCTCCATGGGTCTGGAGACCGCCGGTGGTGTCATGACCGCCCTTATCAAGCGCAACACCACCATCCCCACCAAGCAGACTCAGACCTTCACCACCTACTCGGACAACCAGCCTGGTGTGCTTATCCAGGTCTTCGAGGGTGAGCGTGCCATGACCAAGGACAACAACATGCTGGGCAAGTTCGAGCTCTCGGGCATCCCCCCCGCGCCCCGTGGTGTGCCCCAGATTGAGGTCACCTTTGACATTGACGCCAACGGTATCCTGAACGTCTCGGCCGCCGACAAGTCGACTGGCAAGAGCAACAAGATCACCATCACCAACGACAAGGGCCGTCTCTCTGCCGACGACATTGAGCGCATGGTGGCCGAGGCTGAGAAGTACAAGAACGAGGATGAGGCTGTCAAGGAGAAGATTGCCGCCAAGAACGCCCTCGAGTCGTACGCCTACAACATGAAGTCTACCTTTGACGATGACAAGGTCAAGGGCAAGGTCTCCGAGGAGGAGCAGAAGTCCGTGGTCGACAAGTGCAGCGAGGTCCTCGCCTGGCTCGACGCCAACCAGTCGGCCGAGAAGGAGGAGTTCGAGCACCAGCAGAAGGAGCTCGAGGGTGTCTGCTCTCCCATTGTCAGCAAGCTCTACCAGGCTGGTGGCATGCCCGAGGGTGCCGGTGGCATGCCCGGCGGCATGCCCGGCGGTGCTCCTGCTGGTGATGCCTCTGGCAACCAGGGCCCCACCATCGAGGAGGTTGATTAAATGTCTTTGAGAACTCTTTTTCTTCCTTCCCACCTGACCGCTGGCGGTGATTCACATCTTGATGACTTGGTTTGTGAACCAAAAAAAAAAAAAAAACCAAACAAATTGAAAATAAAAAAATATTGTCCAACAATCCTCTTCTCTTCTCACCACTACAGCATGAAGCACACACTTAAAGAAGACACTTAAAGAAGGCATTCATCCCATCAAGACCAAGACAGTTGTGCACGGTTGTCATGATGTCAATTATCCACTCTTATGTTTTGCTATCAGCTGCCGCCGCTTATTGGCTGGCGATTCTGAACATCTCTGAGCGTGCTTACACCTCACCTCCTAAAGACCTAAACCTAAAAGTCAGCCAAGAAGTCAAGCACCTGCTGTTGGGATTCTTGCTGTTGGTCATGGCGGTGGGCCAGACGTGCCTCAAGACCAGCCAGTTTAGGTGCACTCTGGGCCATGGGCTCCTCAGTCTCTAGTTCAGCTGCAGCTTCGCGAACCCCCTGATCTGGCTCCTTGGGCACGGTGCCAGATGGATCGGCCAGGCCCTCGTCGCCTGCGCCCTCAACGGACTCAGGAATGGCATTTGGGCCCTTTGACGGTGGTAGTGGCGGTGACGTGGCTGCCAACTCCGAGCTGTTGGCGACGCGGTCAGGTTGTGAGGCCAGAGCATCGAGCAATTGTCGACCCAGATCCGACGGCGTCACCAGGAGCTGCAGGGCGTGCGCGTTGTGTAGGGCCCACTCTCGCAGGGCTGTTTCACGACCCAGTGCTCGCGGCTGCTGGACAAGCCGATCCAGCTCCCGCTCCCAGGCTGCAAGCAGGCGTCGGTCAGAGGCGGAGCAACAAAGACTTTGTCGAGCGGCAACTCAATCTAGCATCACTGACCAAGAACGTTGTCCGGGTTGGTAGTGAGGTGTCGAAAGGTGCAATTGGCATACGCCTGGTAGTGACTTTTCATCTCTGCATCAAACGTCGTCGTTGCCGAATAGAGGGCCTGGGCGCCAGCAGCCACGTCGCGAGCAGGATAATAGAATCCGCAGTCCTGATCATGCCCCCAAATACCCAGCGTTGCCACACGAGATTTAAGCCTGTCACACGCAACACGGCCGTTGCGACCCGAGCCCAGCCTCCCGTCCCAATTTCCACACGCATCATCGATCGAACCTGAAAAAAGGGGGAATTGTGCACCATTGGGTAGCCCAGATACATGGTATCCAAATAAAGATAGTTGAGCGCGTTATTCCATTGGTAGCTGAGCAGCACATCCGCATGTGCCGACAGAAACCACGGAAGCTTGAAACGCCCTAGCGGCGTTCATGGCCATGCAAGGAAGGCAACGTTGAGACACGGGCTGGGTGAAGGAATTGCACAACCAAACCCAAACCCAAACCCAACAAATGCTGTTCTTCCACCCACATACCCTTGAACTCCAAACGGCCATCTTGTGCTGCCCTCAGACGTCGATCCCGCCAACTCTTGTACAGCTCGTGTTCGCTTGTCTAGATCACAGCCCCCATCGCACGAGTGAGCGCGCAGCGGGCAATTAAGCTCCACACCTATTTTCACAGGCGCAACAAACGACAAAAACAACCATCCGGTTGTTGGAATAGCGCCCGTCAGCTCGCTTCAGACCTTGAGGGCATTCGTGACATGGGCCTTGGCCAACAGATTCGGATAGCGGCGATAAAATGCCTCCAAAATGGCCACGGGTATGATGTCGGTCTTCACCAGATGCAGATTGCTCTCGAATACACCCACGTGCTTGGCCTGGCCCCGTGCCGTGTAGAACCGTCGAGATTGCATTTGCTGCAGCGTGTAGTTCAGGAAGCGCGGGCTCCACGTGAAAGGCACGGTCGCAAAGCTTGCGTGCTCGAAAGCGGTCGTATCCAGCGCCTCGAGGCTGGCTCATTCAGACATTATTCAGAGATGCACAGACATGGCAATGTCAGATACAACTGAACAGCACCTCACCAATATCTAGCAATAGCGGCCAACACTCACTAATCAAAAGACGGAAGTGTCCAAATGGCGTCGTAGCCTGTGGCCGAATAAATGGAGCAGCGGTCAAGTTCGTACAACATGGTCTCGATGCACATGACGTGATCATTGCCGCTTCGATAGGTCGCAACCTGGTGCACGCCACGCCCAGCACATGAGCACTTCATTTCACGTCACGCTCACCCAAGGGCAGCTCTGAGCCTGCACAGCTAGGGCTCTCGTTGGCACTCTTACCTTGGCCCCATTCAATTGGGCCAGTGAGATTTGGCGCGTGCTCAGCTGCATGCCCACTTCCATGTACACGTCAATGTCCAAGGCCAAGGCTGTGCGTGGAAGCGTATACAACAAGCCCCGCCGTGAACCAAGGTGCTCTTGCCGGCAGGTTGCAAATGGAGTAGTAGCGATGGTCTCACATTCGTGGAAGGACACAATGGGCTGGCCGTCCAACCTCCAATCGGCAAGTGCCGTCGACTCGTTGCCTCGGTCCAAATTGATCAAGATGACCTAGCAACCCCAACCTTTTGTTAATTGTGCAAAGCATGATCGACGCTTGTGCTGGCCTCGTGTTACCTGATGGCGCTGTTGATATGTTAGCATCTCCCTGATGAAAAATGCAGTCTGCTTGGCTCCGTTGGTAAATATGCTTGATGCATTGCTTGGTATGCTGTTCCATAATTTTCACCAGACTCGTGCAAACGTGAGAGAGCGTCAACGCAGAAGCAAACGATGCGCTCAACGTGCTGACGCATACCTCATGGTAAGACCAATGGTGTAGGAGGTGCGGTTTCGAGACCATGCAGACCCCAGTTCTACTTCTCGCTCTCGCTGCAGACGTTCGTGGTCAGCTTGAAGTGGCGAGGTCGCAGGTCCTAGATACGATGCAAACCACCGATTAAAGCATCCATCCCCTTGGTTAGAAAATGCCAGCCTGCCACGTCCAGGCGGCCCATGCATCTCCCGCCTCCTGTGCAGACTCGCCCTGCTCTTGGCAGCAGGTTTCGGGCGGCATGGTGGAAGGCGTACCTAGTGTTTGGCTCTGCTCAAGGCGGTACTGCTCAAGCTCCGCCACTCGTTGCTGAGAGCGTGGCTGCGCCAGCAAGTCTTCCATCACCACCAGCCAGCTTGTCACGACCTCTGGATTTTCAGTGTGATAGTTCCACAAACAGGATGATATCTGCAAGCAGTGAGCAGCAGAGTCAATCGGCGGGGCACGGTCTTTAGGACACTCCGAATCCCAAGCATCGTGGGACAGTGTGAGGCAGGCGGGTATTGTTCTCACCACTTCTTTGTTGCTTGCGCTCTCATTCGTGTAGACGCTGGCAACTGCTTTTTGCAAGGCCCAAACTGCTTCGGTCACGTTGTCCGCACTGTAACGAAACCCACACTGCAGATGCCACAGACAAAAAGCGTTGAAGTGTTGAGGTGGTGGTCAGTCTCAGAGGCTTGAACGAAACAAAAACAAAACCACGTAAAAGCGTTGGGTGATTGCAATTACCTTGAAAAATGGCGAATTGTGGACCACTGGGAGACCGCTGTGCAGTGCATCAAGGTACGCATAGCTATCTGGCTGGTCCCACTGATGGGTCACAATCACGTCAGCTCCATCGGCCAACGCCCAAGGTGTTGGGGAGCTTGCTCGCAGCCATACTTTGTCCAGGGGCAAGCTCAATCCTTGCCTGCCGCACGTAGCAAACGTGAGCCATCTTCAAGCATCATCTTTGCAGACAAAACGTTTTGGGCATACCGTAAAAAGGCCTGGAAATCCCCATGGTGATAAATATCTTGTGAATGGAGCACCTGTACTCCTGCAAACCAGCTCTCTTCGGCACTGTCCTCATACAGCTGTGCGCCATGCAGTGACGGAAGCAGGCACGGTTATGATAGCACGATAGGCGCATACGTGCAAGCAAGTCTTCTGCACCTTATTAATAATGGTCAATGGAAGAACAGCTTGCTGGTGGACGTTCTCGTTGGGCTCCAGAACCAGGATGGTCGTTCCGTTCTGCAGACAGGCAGTCGTATGTAAAAACAGCATCTTAGCATGACACCAGCGGCCGGCTTTAATCTCAAACACGACTCTGCGCGATTTAACAGACCTCGGGTCGCGGGCGCTGGAACCACGGACCGCGCGGCTCAGCTTGAGCCAGGATATTAAAACGTCTTCATGCAAATTGAAACACAGGCGCATTGGTATGAGAAAGGCGAGTAAGCTGCACAAAAAAGGGGCAACATGTGGCGAGCTCACCGCGGGTTCCAGGTGCGCGGAACGCGACGTGTGGGCGCATTAAATTTGACCTCGAGGTATGCCAAGTTTGTTCTAAAAACGGTGCGGTCGAAAAAAACAATGCAAAAATTAGAACTTGCTTCAGCCCAAAGCACCTCTCGAGACCCAACCGCACAGCCCACTCACTTGGCAAACGCAGGAAACACCAGCACACCATCAAAGCCCTGTCGTGATCGTGATCGTTATTCAGTCGTCGTGCACACGTGAAGTGAATAACTGCGCCCTTGAAGGTGCGGCGGACGAGCAAAAACATTGTCAATCTTCTCACGTGGGTAGCGGTGGCTGGCGCACGAGTGAGTGAGTTGTCGAAAACATTCATGTCCGAATCGTCGCGTAGATCGTTTCGAAAGCGCAAAGTCAAAACCTGAGGGCAGCAAGCAAGCAAACAACCAATGGAACAAGCAAACAAAGGTCAATCACTCCACTTGGAGCTTTTGCACGTGCAGTCCCTGGTAGACACCCACCTTCTGCTGAGCGAGTTGAATATTATTCAACTGGTCTTGGGTCAAGAAACCCAAGTCAATCCACGCCTGTCATTTGCCAAACAGCCCTACGATGAACAAGTCCAGAAAATGCCCAAAATGGCGGCGAGTCTAATAACGCACGTGGATTGGAAGCTTCCGGACGTTGTCAAAGGAGCTGAAGAGAGTGTTGGATCGCAATCCCCAATCCATTGGTACATCCTATCAAAGCACCGCTCAAAATCCATGACCAAACAGCTCTGCATGGATCGAAAACACACGCACAGACCTCGCGGGAGGCGCCCGGCATGTGGCACGCGGGGCTCGGGCTTTGCATCTACTCACCTCACGGCCGCCAGTGCCCACATTTGCCAACACAACCTCCCAATGTCTCGAGGCTTCAATCACATCAAGCACGTACAAGGCCGTCATGGTTGCCTCTGCGGTTGTGACCCAAGCAAGCACGCATATCAAATACCGTGCAAATTGCAAGGTGTCATCAGGATCAAGCGACGGGCAGAAGGGCAAGAGCACAAAGATGGTACATGGTTGCTTAGCCCATACCTGACGACCAAATACTGGCATTGTTTTGCTTGTCCACTCGAATTGGTATGGCAACATTCATTTTCTTGGCCTGCGCCTCCTTCTCCTCCATGGACACCCTCGCAGCTGCTGGAGGGCGGCCTAGGCCCAACTCGGGTGGCTCGAGCAAAACATCAGCAGGCAGACCAGCCAGTCGCTCTGCGCGCAGCACTTTGAGCGTTTCGTCTGGCTCTTCTAGCGTGAGCAATGTGCGCGCATCCATGTCCACTTCAACGGGAGGGCCTAGTGCGACATCAAGCCAGCTGAGTAAGCTGCCACATTCTTTACCCGGGCCAGTCAGCCAGTTTCACGCACCAAATCGGTCGACCGCAATGCCATAGGCCAGGCGATACTCTTGCAGCCGAGCTTCTTGATCTGCTGGGCACACTTGAGTCATGACTTTGGTCAATGTGCTTGCCCACCGCTCAAGGTTGCGGGGGTTGGATGAGATGAAGTTCGCGACGCAGGCAGGGCCCGAGCTCAAGGTGCCACTCGTATGATTGAGGATCTGCTGCAAATGACGCGCAGCGCTGCGGACATCGTCGCCGTGATAAAAAGCACCACAGGCCTACAGGCAGGGCCGAACACAAAGGTGTCATGTCCGTGGAAGGGGAAAGTGTTGGTAGTTGTCGGACAGAGTCAAGGGCGGTCCGGTGCCCCATGACTAACCTGCAGTTCCACGACATTATGCACCACCATTGCTCCGGCATACAAAGCGTCAAGTTGCCATGGTGCCAAAGACCCTTCGGCACGATGGGATACCACCACCCGGCTTGCGGCCAGTGCCAAGGGTAGAATAGGCCTAAGCATCGTCAACAACGGGTACATATCCCCCAAAATCATGAGTCAAGGCTGGAGTCAAACGCATGAAGCGACAAGGCCTTGGAAGTAAAACAAATGGGACATAAACGCCAGGCAAGGCAAATTCTCCAAGCCCAAGAAGGAAAGAGTCTTGACCGCACAAGCGCGCAAGCATCTCGGTACATGGTGCACTGACTCGGCCAGCAAGATCGTCTTGTTTGTGGCAGCCAGCTTGGTCAGCGCCGACGTGAGGAAATACGGCCACTATTTGAGAGAGGCGTCCGTGAGCATCATTGTCTTGGACGCTCGCATCGGTGGATCAAAGCCTCCAAATGTTCCACGCACCTCGTGTCGGGCCCGAGGCAAGTGTTGGGCATGATGGACGCGAACGCTGGATATGAGCTCTGGTGCTGCACGTTGGACCATTTCAGCTGCAATCAAGGGCAGGGAGGCCTGGCTTTCGACGAAACGATTGCTTTCCAACACGGTCACCTTTGAGCCCACCAGCGACGCATGGAGCCACATGAGCGCGAGATATCCCACTGCAATAAAGGCAAATCAGCAGCGTGTAGGTTCACGAACGGTAGCAGCAGTTTCTGGGTGCAAGTCGGCACCATGTGACCGAGCATGACTGGCATATGTCTCATACAAGACCGGCGAGTAGGCCAGCGGGACAGACAGGACAGTTGTATTGAAAAACACTTCCAAAAAGCTACCGAGTTGCCTGCATAGGTGCAGCAGAGGCTCAATGCACAGTAAGGTGCGGGTTGGGCACAGCGAGCTGTGCGGCATGCCATGTATCTCGAGGTTCTGATCTCAGAGACTTGAGACAGAAGACGTATGCTGTGGGTCTTGATCTATCGTACTTACGTCCAGAGGGCGCTAGGGACGAGGATGGCATCGTAGTGTTGTAAAACGGCGGGGGTGGGAGAAGTCAAGTCCGTTCGATCAAAGACCAAGGGGTCCATAAAGTGGCGCATCAAATCCACTGCTACAAGTTTGGTCACCTGCACGAGGGGCAGTCATCGTGGGGAGACACAATGCAACCACGCGAAACACGCGAGCGCTTGGAGCATGGGCGGTCGTAAGGCTCCGACCTTGGCACCATAGATTTGAAGTGATGTGCTCTGCACAGCTGACAAGGCACCGGCTGTTGTCGGGAAGCAGATAGCCCCCAAGGTTGAACAACAGGAGGTGGGGTGAGACATTGGAGTGTGACATCAGTTGAAGAGACGCCAGCCTGGGGTAAAGACATGCACAAGACGACGCACTGGTCTCTATCCAAAGCTGGCAACCAGAGTAGCGACCACGACCGTATGGCAGGACGGGGAAGCGGTGCCTCAGTGGTACCCACGCGCCTGGATACTGATCAACGAGGAGGGATGGTGGATGATCAGCAAATGTTGGCGCAAGCTGGATCGTGGGTGGTCGGGCAAGCGCGTCTAGAAGTAAATGGCTCTTGTGCTCTCTCGAGGCTTTGAACGCACGCGAAGGGTTTCACCCGTCAGGGTAGGTTCTATCAGGAAAACAGTCCGGTTCAGCTCGGAAAGCTGCTCATATAGATGAAATGGGCTCTGGCCCTCATCTGTGTGTCCGTTCGTTCAGATGGGTGAGACAGCGCCTTCAGTGCGCGCGTCAGCCATCATTTAGGCGGTCCTGCAGAAAGCCATCATGCTACCTCTGGCATAGGGCTGGTCATACGGGGCTTGAAACTGAGGCGATGCAGCAGTGGTATGACATGTCGATGAGACACCAAATCGGCTCAGGGTCGGGCAAAATGATATGCATGTGCGTTAAAACCGACCGAAACGGTAATGCACACGCGATCAGGAAGGAACGACGATTGCGATTCTTGCTGTAGCCTAGGGCCGCCATCAGTGTCTATGCCAGGATCACCATTGCCCAGGTCTGGTCCGACGTGGCTACCTCCAACCTGGGCGGCTGGGTCAACCACGTCGCTGGAGCCCTGGACATGCGGGTTGTCGCCAGCCGCGCCGGCTCGAACTTCAGCCATACACACACATGTCCCTGCCAAGACCAGAGCGGCAGCCATGGATAGAACCTGCCAACAAGGCCTAAAAATCCTTCCCCGCCCAGTGGCCTCCATCCTGCCCGCGCTCGCCATCCACCCTCACGCAACACACACGCGCTGCCGAAATCTGAATCCGCACCCCCAGAGCCGAAATTCTGTTTTTTTTCCGAATTTTCACATCTGCATCCGGCGCTTGACAAAATCAATCCGCTAAAGTGTGATATAAAACACATTTATCCCCTTCGCCAAGCGTAATAAATAAGTATTATACTTATCATTATGGAGGAGCGGTTAGAGGGGCGCATTTTTTTGTCTGACAACTGGGCTAGAATGGCGCGACGCTTCTTCACAACGACGACGATGGCACGTACGTGACTTGGGTCGGTCGTCGGTATCAGTGGTGATCAGTGGCTGCGGACCGGTTGGACTTGCTCGTTCCTTGGACTGGCTGTTGGAGGAGGGGTGGGCAAGGGTAAGCAAGGGTGGAGGCTGTGGTGGGCAGGTGAGGGGCAGTGGAAAGGCTGGTGCTTTTGTGCACAGGGTGCGACGAACATGTATTTTGATCAAGTGGCGTGGGAGCTCGCGCGCTGGGATTGACTCTTTGAGCTGATGCCTCTTGGTTGACGTGTCTGCCGGTTCCTGGTCAGGTGGCGGCATGGATTACGCTTCGTTTCTTAGTGAGACGAGCCTGCGTCGCCAGCCCTCTCCTATTCGTGCTTTACAGCCCTTGGTCAACTTGCCTGGCATGATCAGTTTGGGTGGTGGGATGCCCAATCCTGAAACCTTCCCAATCGCCTCTCTGGACATCAACCTTAAATCGGGCGAGGTATGTTTGCTTTAAAGAAGAACACCCCCTCTCTTCACAAAGGCGATGGGATCAAGCATGCTGCTGGATCCGGCTTGTCCTCATTCTCTACTACTTCAGAAACTATGCTTGTCACCAGCTGAGACGGCCGTGGCCCTGCAATATTCGCCGACGCCAGGCCTCCCAGCTCTGAACCAGTGGTTGCACGAGCTCCTTTTGAAAGAGCACACTCCTCCGCAGGTTCCGAGCCGCCCCTTACCCCCTTCTTCCCCTCCTTTTATTCAAAGCCCCAACGTTTTCGACGTAGCACCTCACAAGGCCCCGTAATGATTTCTTCTGTTAGGCCACGGCCGACAATTTGCGCTTGACCATCACCAACGGTAGTCAAGAAGCTGTGACACGCTGCTTTGACATGCTCTTGGACAAGGGTGATGCCGTCATTCTGGAGGCGCCGACCTACAGGTTGAGTCTGCGTGGGCCTCTCGACCTTGTTCCATCCGCCAACTTGCCTCTCGAAGATGCGCTGATGTCCCATACCGCCACTGCAGTGGCACCCTGGCTGGTCTATACCCCAAGCAGGTCAAGCTTGTCCTCATCTCGACTGATGATCAAGGCATCAAGCCAGCAGAGCTTGATGAGCGCCTCTCCAACTGGGACGCGTCCAAGGTATCAACCGTCGCCTTGCTCCTGCACTCTGGCACGTCTCAAGCGGATGGGCATACATTCCCTTCCAACCCTCTTCTGTCTCCAGCCTTGGTTCAGCGTCCGTGTGCTTTGCACGAGTCTGACGTGTTTTGCCAATGGCTCAATTTTGCTCGCTCAAGGAAAAAGCACCCAAGCCCCGCGTTTTGTACACAATCCCAAGCGGCGGCAATCCTTCGGGGGTGACAATGTCCATTAGTCGTCGGTTAGTCAACACTGCCTCGCTCGCTCGATGTCAGTGACCTTTCGCTTTGATTCTGCCAAAGCATACGAGGATGTGCGTACTCTTGAATAACCATGCCCACCATCAGGCAGGAACTGTATCAGGTTGCGCAGCGTCACAACCTTCTCATTCTAGAGGACGACGCCTACCGATACCTCAACTTTGAGCCCAAACGTCCACCTAGGTTCGATCCTCCTCCTGCCACGGCATTTCATCTGCTGCCACTTCTTGATGCGCTGCCTGGCTTTGCTTTGCGCGCCGTTTGAACTCAAAGGTTCTTCGATGTTGCAGCCTGCTCAGCATGGATGTGGATGGTCGCGTCCTGCGCTTCGATTCGATTTCCAAGATTGTCTCCTCTGGTTTGCGCCTGGGCATGGTCTCAGGACCCGAGCCATTGATTGACCGTATCAACCTTCAGAGCCAAGCCACTACCTTGCATCCTTCGGGCGTGTCTCAGGTTAGCCTATGCAGATTTGCGCTTGTCAACTTGGCAAGCCTCACTCCACCATCTTTTACATCTTATTCTTCCGCGCACGCCAGGCCATTCTCTTGAAGCTCCTACAGCATTGGGGTTACGATGGCTTTGAGGAGCACGTGCAGCAAGTGTCCGACTTTTATCGCAAGCAGCGAGATGCGCTTTTGGCAGCAGCTGATGTGAGCTACTTGCTGGTGTTGCCATGTTCCAAATCTTTATCACCAGACGCTCGATGACTGGCCTCGCCTCTCACCTTTGTGATGGACTTTCTATAATTCCTGCCAGCGACACTTGGCAGGCAAAGCTACATGGAACAAGAACATCACCGCGGGCATGTGTCTTTGGATTCGACTTAACAACGTGGACGATACCAAGGTACGATGTCGCAGAACGCCATTGTGCTTATGCCTGGTGCCCGCATCCCTACCAGCTCTCACTACGGTCGTTGTCTGAAACATCTGGACTCGTGGGCGTTGGCTGCACGGCCAAAAGGAGCTTATCACGAAGCGAGCCGTCGAGCAGAAGGTGAATTGCGGAGCAACTGGAGCACCACGCAGCACGGCTTTCTCGGGGCACCTTAATCCTTCTTTCAATCATCATTCTTTTTTTTGTTATCTGATTTGTCCCTGATATCGCCTGAGCCTCACTGTTTTGTTTTGTTTTCCAGGTACTCTTTGTGCCTGGCGACGCCTTTTTGCCAGCGGACGTGGACCATCATTTGTTGACGACGCCCGAAACGCCCTTATCCAAGACGCCCTACCTTCGTGCCACCTTCTCCATGGGTCTGTTTCGCCTCGCCTCAGCATCTCTCTGTTGCCTACTCGTGGCTGATGCTCAGCTCATTCAGGACATTGGGACGTATTCTGCAGCCACGCCAGAGGAAATGGACGAGGCACTTCGCCGGCTGGCGGCATTGCTCGATTAAATGACGTACTCGCCCCGCTTGGCTTATCGCCTCCCTTTGCAACAATCGCATGGTGCTGGCCTCTGCTTGCGCACACTGTAACTCTTCTTCTCTTTTGTCTTTTACTCAATCTTAAAAAACAGGTTCATTCAGAAACACAGCATACACAGACTTTTGGGCGCTCTTTTTGATGCTCCTGCTCGATTTGGTTGTCATCTCGTACAATGACAAAAAAATGCTATCCATACACAATCACATCGATACAGAGTGCTCTTTCCAATAAGACGACGCACACCGTGCAATCAATCTGATCCCATGCTACACCCGCAGAGAGGGAGGGGTGGGGTGGGGTGGGGCAAAAGGGCCGTTGAATCAGGCTTCACTCTCGTTCTCAATCATGTCGGTCTCGCTGTGTGGCGACATTCGGTCCATAGGCATCGAGGTCCAGACGTCACCGACCAACTCATTTTCATCATTCAAGGCAGAGCCATTACTCTGCGCCTCGCCGTTTGTCGCCGATGGGATCTCCAAAGAGCCTTGTGCCTCAGTTTCGGTGGGCTTCAGAACGTTGCGAACTAGCGTCATCGTCGTCCTAAAAGAATCTGACCGAACTAGGCGATTCTGGTTCCAGGTTTCGTTGTTGTCGGAGACGCTGTATGCCGGTGTTGCAATCGTATTCATTTCGTCGGCGGCCACCTGCAAGGCCAGGCACACAGAGCCTGGTACAAGCGTCATCAGCCCTGGGTGCTGCTCGCCGAGTGCCAGCAACACCTTCAGATAGCGGTATCGCACCGCAACTTGCTCATTGCCTTCTACGAGCTTTACCAGACCCCGGGTTTTTTTCACAGACCCGACGTAACCTCCAGCATCTTGCACCTCACCGCCATGTAAGATAAGCTTTTGCCGCCACTCGTCCAGGCCGTCGCGCAAAGCCCAAAAGGCCGAGAGCCAAGCCATCAGACCTTGAAAGGGCAGCTGGCGCCGGGCAAATGCCGTCATGTACTCATGCAAGATTATGAGTGAGAGGCGTCGATTACCAAACGCAAGATGCAGTAACGCCTGCTCCAAAACCGGGTCTTCCAGCTGCTCCGAGTCAAACATAAAGCGCACAAAATCTGCGTGGAATATCACTCGCGCGAGATTATCCGACAACGGTGCCAGCGGCGGCTCTCCTACAAGGAGAGCGGGCTGTTCAACCCGGTCTCGTGGTTTGCCTGGCATGAAGTTGTCGATGTCGGGGTTTGTGCTGCCGCGCACGGGGACAGTATCATCGTCGTGGTGGGCGCAGAGATTGCTGTACTGGCATAAGATACTCACTAGCTCTCGCAACTTGGCCGAGACCTCCGGTATCAGCGTGCCTGGGCCGTTGAGCGAACCGTCTTCAGACAACAACAGACGGGATGCATAGCCAGCTATGGCATCCAGGCAACAGTCAGGCCGCAGTCCGGCAGGAACCTGGCGCAGGATGCAGAACAAGGTAGAAAGAAGTGGCGCGCAGCCGTCATGATCCACAGGTAGGTCTGCCGCCAACAGGGCCTGAATGACTGGCCCATAGGGCATGCGTAAGCCTGCGCTGATCTCGGACTCGGCAGGCAGGCTAGTCATGGCCGTTTCAACCAACTCAAGCAAACGTGAGCGCATGACGCCGTTACGAAGGGCTTGCAGGAGATCGGTAACGAGCGCGCCGTCCGCGGCCAGAACCTCACGGACAGCCACTGCAAAAATTGGGTTGGCAAGACTCATTGTCACGCTCTTGATGAGCTCCTCGGAAGAGGCCCAGACCGCTGTTGCGACGCGCAAGCCAACGCGCAGCAGGGCCTGTGTTGCCAAGACGACTGGTGGGGTGTACAGTCCCTGTTGCACCAGAGTCGTCAGAAAGCCAGCAAAGGATGGCGACAGCAGCTGGTGAAGAAACTCAAACCGCAGGTTGCCAGCTTGAATCTCCGCCGACAGCTGGGGGGGGACCTCGAAGCCATCTAGCATGGCCACCTCTGCGGGCGTCTGTACTGGTGGTGGTTGTGGGCTGGGGTTCAGGCTCTGCCCCTGGCGCAGCTCTTCCAGCACGTCTAGGCGCTCATACACGAGAATGTAGGCCGAGTAATTCTTCTCAAAGGTACCATACTCTGTGTTGTAAGTAGTTCCACCACCGTAAAACTGGTCTTCACACAAATCGCGATTGACGATGACCTCAGTCACCTGCTCATCGTTAAATTTGAGCCATTTGCCAGCGCTCCCATCAGCCAGCGTCGTTGGGGTCTCGCGAGTTCGAGAAAAGCTGTAGTAGTGTCCGGCGCTGGCACTGCCCATGTGCACAACCACACCCTGCAAGCGATACTTGCAACAGGGCGGAATTTCCGCTGGGGAAACCCCTTCAGAGTTGGCTGGACCAAGATCAACAGCATCTGCGGCATTGTCTGCGTCACTGGCCGCCTCTTGTGCCTCCTGGCGTTCTTTTTGCGTCAAATAACCATAAGTGTACGGCTCAAGATCGAGCTCCTGAGGAAATTCAAAGCGCACGTTGTGTTTAACGGGCTGGAATGTTTGCAGATCATAGCCAAAGCGCTTCAGCTGTACCATGAGCATGGGGGGCAGCGTTTTGATGCATGAGCGTTTCATGGCGTCCACCTTGACACCGCACTCTTGGCAGCGATATTGGTTGGCGCCTGTGAACATCTCCCCTTGGACCGAATCCAGCAGTGCCTCGTGCATTGTGTCGTGGGACATGACGGGCAGCGACAGGTTGAAGGTGTCCTCGTGTCGCTCAGACGTATGACGGCACGATTTACCAATGATCTGGGTTATCATCTCAAACTTGAGGAGGGGCGCCAAAATTGGCGCCGCACCAGCTGATTGCAGCAATTCGTCGGTCTGGTCCACCAGTGTTTGAAGAAACTCCACAGCGTCGCTTTGCACTCGCACATTGATGGGCTCGCCCCACAATTTGAATGTCGCCCAGAACAGCTCCGGCGAATAAAACTGCAGTCCCAAGCACAGCCAACAACAGACCACAGATTTCGACTGAGCTGAAAAGTCGCAATGGCAGGATCCGAGGATCCGGACAGCGTGTACGCGAATACGTTCCAAGCGGGGAGAAGTGAGCAGATCAGGGCCAAGACTGACCGATTTGGCGTCGCTGTTCAAGTGAGCAAATATGCGTTGCAGTTGTAGCAGCGTATTTTCCGTTTGCGCGCCGTGCACATACTTATCGACCAGGCGGTCGTCCATGCTGAGCCTGAGCTGAGCCGTATCACTGTTACTCTGAGCCAGCGCCTGGGGTTGAGCTTGTTCGTTCACCCCATCAGCCTGAGTATCCTGCCCATCCTTGT